TTTTAAAAAATGCTAACTTCCTTTTCTCTCAATTCCAGATTTATATAGAGAGGTGGGTTTGTGTGTGTGTATCAGATATACACATAACACCCTGCGTACATACCCTAGATTGAAACAACAATTCAAACTGACACATGAGTTTTAGAAAAAAAACAAGAGTTTCCACCTTAGGAGCATTTTAGAGAAAGATTAAATATAAGGGAAAAAACCCTTCTTATTAAATTGTGGTATAACAGCTCACCACATCCTGTTGCAAGGACATCTGACGTGAAGCAGAGCAAAGGTTCCTCTTTCAGGTTCCTGACGATCCGTGAGGGTCACATGTTACCTGCAGTTCAAAATACTTCTGTAAAGATAAAAAAACCTCTGTGTCGGTGGAAAAGCTGAATAAGAAGATGGAAATTATCAGTAGAGAGAAGACATTGTGGGAAATCGTAGGTGTCATCGGCACAACCATATCAAAGAGAGAAAGCCACCCCCAAAATAACCCACACAGAGCCCCGCGGCCGGGACTGATACGGGCTCGGACCCATGACCTCACGGAGGGAAGATAGGATGTGGCTGGGAGGCGGCGGGGCCCCAGGACCCTGTGCTTCGCACCCTCGCCCACCGTCAAAGGCACCTCCACCTCGGCAGCCCTTCCCTGATATGGTCTTTCTTTATCCATCTGTGAAATGGGACCGTCATGGCTTCCCTACAGGGTTCCTGTCTAGATTGTGTCTCTGGAAGAGAGTGAGGTCTGGGCGTCCACCCTCAGCTGTGTGGACGCTTGTGTGAAGCGTCATCTGCCATGGGGCTCCTGGCCATCCAACTTCACTTTGGGCAGCTGCCCGGCTCAGGCCCTGCGGCGCTCAGGGAAGATGCTGGAGGATGTTTGTGCGTGTGGGGTGGTTCTTGAGTCTGTTCCTAAAAGGAATGAAACCCTGTGACTCCAGCCTGACCTTGCCAGGTGTGGACAGCAGTGGGTCCAGCTGACAGGTTGTCCTCAGGGAGGCTCGTCAGATACCACTGGCCCACCGTGATGGGCAAGAGCTTCGGCTGCCCTGGCGCATCCCATGCCGCTCTCCTGAGGGCTCCCGACGGGGCCAAAGGAGGACAGGGCCGAGCCTCACTCAGAGAGTAGCCACGCCATGGCCTGCGTCTGGGCCCAGAATGTCCAGGACACATCGAGCGATGGCGCCGCCTCCTACCACCCCGGGCGCCCCCTCCGAGGTTCAGGTGCCCCAGTGGGTAGTAGGGGGAAGCCCACTTCTGAGGCTCCTTCCCCTTTTCTCTTGTCAGACAGATGTTATTTTTCCTGTGGTCTGCATAACCCTGAGTAACTAAAAGATTCGCAGCTACTCTGCTGCTGCCTTACTACCCCTCAGGCCTCCCTCCCAATTCCCCTCATTATTACTCCTCAGGCCTCCCGCCCAATCCCCTTCATCATTACCCCCTCAGGCCTCCCTCCCAATTACCTTCATTATTACCCCTCAGGCCTCCCTCCCAATACCTGTCATTATTACCCGTCAGGACTCCCTCCCAATTCCCTTCATTATTACTCCTCAGGCCTCCTTCCCAATTCCCTTCATCATTACCCCTCAGGCCTCGTTCCCAATTCCCTTCATCATTACCCCTCAGGCCTCGTTCCCAATTCCTGTCATTATTACCCCTCAGGCCTCCCTCTCAGATCCCTTCATTATTACCCCTCAGGCCTCCATCCCAATTCCCTTCATTATTACTCCTCAGGTCTTCCTCCCAATTCCATTCATTATTACCCCTCAGGCCTCCTTCCCAATTCCCTTCATCATTACCCCTACGGCCTCCCTCCCAATTCCTGTCATCATTACCCCTCAGGCCTTCCACCAATTCCTGTCATTATTAACCCTCAGGCCTCCCGCCCAATTCCTGTTATTATTACCCATCAGGCCTCCCTCCCAATCCCCTTCCTTATTACCCCTCAGGCCTCCCTCCCAATCCCCTTCATTATTACCCCTCAGGCCTCCCTCCCACTCCCCTTCATTATTACCCCTCAGGTCTCCCTCCCAATTCCTGTCATTATTACCCCTCAGGCCTTCCTCCAAATCCTGTCATTATTACTCCTCAGGCCTCCTTCCAATCCCCTTCATTATTACCCCTCAGGCCTCCCTCCCACTCCCCTTCATTATTACCCCTCAGGCCTTCCTCCCACTTCCCTTCATCATTACCCCTCAGGCCTTCCTCCCAATTCCTGTCATTATTACCCCTCAGGCCTCCTTCCCAATTCCCTTCATTATTACCCCTCAGGCCTCCATCCCAATTCCCTTCATTATTACCCCTCAGGCCTCCCTCCCAATTCCCTTCATCATTACCCCTCAGGCCTCCCTCCCAATTCCCTTCATCATTACCCCTCAGGCCTCCCTCCCAATTCCCTTCATCATTACCCCTCAGGCCTTCCTCCCAATTCCCTTCATCATTACCCCTCAGGCCTTCCTCCCAATTCCCTTCATCATTACCCCTCAGGCCTCCCGCCCAATTCCTGTCATTATTACCCCTCAGGCCTCCCTCCCAATTCCCTTCTTCATTACCCCTCAGGCCTCCCGCCCAATTCCCTTCATTATTACCCCTCAGGCCTCCTTCTCAATCCCCTTCATTATTACCCCTCAGGCCTCCCTCCCAATTCCCTTCATTATTACCCCTCAGGCCTCCCTCTCAGATCCCTTCATTATTACTCCTCAGGCCTCCCTCCCAATTTCATTATTACCCCTCAGGCCTCCCTCCCAATTCCCTTCATTATTACTCCTCAGGCCTCCCTCCCAATTCCCTCCATTATTACCCATTAGGCCTCCCTCCTAATTCCCTTCATTATTCCCCTCAGGCCTCCTTCCGAATCCCCTTCATTATTACCCCTCAGGCCTCCCTCCTAATTCCCTTCATTATTCCCCTCAGGCCTCCTTCCGAATCCCCTTCATTATTACCCCTCAGGCCTCCCTCCCAATTCCCTTCATTATTATCCCTCAGGCCTCCCTCTCAGATCCCTTCATTATTACTCCTCAGGCCTCCCGCCCAATTCCTGTCATTATTACCCCTCAGGCCTCCTTCCCAATTCCCTTCATTATTGCCCCTCAGGCTTCCATCCCAATTCCTGTCATTGTTACCCCTCAGACATTTTTCTACCCCTCTTGCTGGTCTTACTAGAATCAGATTTCTGCTCTGGGACTTTCATTGCCCTAAACCCTTAGTGGGAAGGCAAACCCCAGTTCTGTGTGGTATGATTGAACTTTCACGCCTCCTCTTCATGTGGGACCTTGTTTACCACTGTTCCCACCGTGCAGGGCCTGCTTTGAGGTTTTGACTCTAATTTCTCTTCTGGGTGGAGGTGGCCCCGCCGCCTCCCTTCCCCCCTCCCAGTAGCACCTGCCACCCGGTGGGAGGGACTCTGGCCTATGTGTGGCCCCAAACCTTTCACTTTTCTCAGAACCGGTTAGGAAGCCCCACTGGGCCCACGACCTAGGCTGCTTTAGGACAAATGCGATGGTGGCCATGAAAGCACCTTGTAAACCGTCGCTTGCTGAGTGAATACAGGGCGCAGGGCTCTGTGGTTCCAGTGCTGTCACACCTCGTGTGTGGGTCCCCCACACACACACCCTGTATCTTTCTAGTACGTTCCACACATTTGGCCTGAGACAGAGACACCCTGCGTGCAGGTGCGGCCTGTCCTGACCCAGACCAAACCCCCAAGAGAACGGGACGTGTGAGTGTTCTTGTCAGAATGTTCTTTCATGGCGACGTTCTGCAAGGTGTGGACGGGGCCGTGCCTCTTAGGGACACACAGGCTGGACCCGTGACGTGGAGGAAACAGGAGCTCTGGCCCTGGTGGCCCGAGTCCCGCCACCCCATGCCCCGGGCGGCCGAGTGGCACAGAGACGGCCCACTACCCCGGAGCTGCCCGTGCCCTGGGCCTCGTCCTGGCCACCTTGGTGGCCGGGGAGCCACTTGGCCAGGTGAGCACAGTCCCTCCGCTGTTTACCGTGCGAGGCAGGGCCGGCTGCAGAGGACATGTGGTGCACGTCAGGCGGCCATGTCGGTCAGGCGTGTCCCCTGCAGGCCGCTGCCCGGCTCCCCCTTCCCGCGTGCTGGCGGCCCCTCGGGAGGAGCCCGGGTCTGGGGTCCGCAGGGCGGGCTCCTGACTGAACCAGGGCCAGCACGTTCTGTTATCAGTTCCCGTGACACAATTCCTGGTTCCCCCGCTGGGCCTTATTATTGTTATTCTTAAAAATAGGTGGGGGGGGGGGTGTTGAAAGGCAGTTTAGGGAAGGGAGTGGGCTCGGGAAACGCACTCCACTAATTGCTCCAGGAAGCCGCCCTTGGCTGGGCGGGGGCCCTGCAGAAACACACGGTTTATCTGGCAGTAGAGGGAGCCCAGGCAGTTCCGTGACGCAAGCACGTCCCCACCTCTGAGCCCTGCGAGCGGTGGTGACAGCCTCTGGGCAGCATTTCCCCATCTGGTGCCGTGATGGGGGGCAGATGCCGTGCAGGTCACTCCCGTGGCCTTTGCCAGCTCCTCTCACTTCCCCTCCGGCTGCCAAAAATCACAGGCCAATCGTGGACATGAACAACGGGACAGACGTGAAGGAAGAGCCCCGAACAAAGGGAGGCCCAGGCCCGGGAGGCCAGCGCTCCTCCCCGAGCTGCCCTGGCCCGACTGACCACGAGGCCACGGAGAGGGGCCCACGGGGCGAGGACTTCACCAGGGTGCTTCCGCTGCAGGGATTATCTTTTGGTTTCGCAAACCTGGGAGCACAGGCTGCGCACCGGCGCCTGGGTCAGTCGTCAGGACCTGAGGCTGAGGCCTAACTGGTCTCTGGAATCACAGCGCCGGCTCCCAGGCAGCTGTGTCCTGCCGGCTCAGGACACCTCATCCTCTGGGGACACCTTTTCACAGGCTGAACATAACTGACTGATGGAATTTCTGGTGATTTATGTAAGCTCGTATGCAGAGTCCTGTCTCTCTAATGCTCTCTATTTTTGTTTTCTTGCAGTAAACGAGATAATACGAAATGACCTCTCCAGTACCAACCTCCACTCGTAGTCGGCAATTGGGACTCTCAGAAGCTGCGTGGTGTTAATTCGACGGTGACAACTGAGTCAACAGACTGAACTCACACCTGGTACCACTCGGAACTTCCACCTTAGTGAAGGCTTAGATCATTCGTACAAAGAAGTAGCTCAAGGAAGGAAGGAAGGGCCACTCCATCTTCTGAAGGAAGGTCATCTCAAGAAGGAGACGAAGGTGGGTGGGTAGGGGAAGCACAGAAGACAGACCGTGTGATGTGCCCCTCGTGACCGCAACCCGACGTGGCAGCCTGACCCCAAGCGTACCCTTCAGGCACCCCTGCATTTCATACTGGAAGTGCCTTATTTAAGCAGACCGCAGCAGCAGGGCATCATGGAATTGAGCATTGAACTGGCCACCAGGAGAGTATTTGTAAGAGCAAAACCTGTAAAGACATTTTGTCATGAGGCTTCATCCTATGTATAAATTAAGAGAATACTGGCTAGCCGGGCATGGTGAGGAGAACCTAACACGTTAGCCGGGCACGGTGAGGAGAACCTAACACGTTAGCCGGGCACGGTGAGGAGAACCTAACACGTTTCCTACTTTCTTCACCTTTTCCTGGGCTGTAATATACAATTCTGTTGCCTTACTCGGTGCATTTCAGGACTCTTCCAAGGTGTCATCTCAGCTCTTTCATGACTGCCTTCCCTACCCTGTGTTACTCAAGCCTTAGGGCTGTTCATTATAGCATGTTAGGATTTTGTTTTTAATCTGGCTTCGAACATAGCACAGGTAAGTTGAATAGCACAAGGTAGGTTACTGGACAAAAAAAGAAATCTATCTGTCTCGGGATAGATCTTGCATTTGCATGTGTGTACATCTATAGCCGTGTATTTATGTATGAACATAACGGAGGTGGTGATACTCACTCTTTGCCCAGCAAGGGCGTCCATGTCAGCAATAACCAGTATCCATTCTGGAAAATTCACCTGGGGCTCCAAACCCAGCTTCCCAGCCACTTCCGAGGGGGCGTCACCCACCCCCCGGGAGGTCTGTGTGTTTTCCTCTCCTGCAGTTAACCAAGCACTTTAAAAGCCGGGAGAGGTGCGTCCACAGTACCGTCTGTTACCAAACAGCAAAATTGGAAAGAAACTATAAATAACGTTACAGAAGGAGTGTAATATATTTGTTCAGCTGTAAGATTATTATTTCACAGAAGCCTTATAACTCTGCTTCATCTAAGGAAACGATAACCAAAAACAGCGTTTAATATGTGGTGACTGTAGTGTGTTTCCAGACTAGTTACTGTTACCAGATAGGTTAGTGTGAGCTTTACTACTGCATTTTGTACCCTTAACAGCTTATTACGCATTATTGCTAGCAGTGACCTGTCGTTTCACGTAACCAAAAAGCATGGTTTTAACGAAAACATGTTTAACCTGATAACTGTGCCTTAGGAACTCACGCCCCCCTCCTGGAACTCCGCCGAATCGAATGGCACCCTCGGGGGAGGTGACAAGTCCTGTCACCAGACTCGGCGTTTTGGTGGGGAAAGCGCTCTCCCACAGAAAGAATTATTTTGAAAATGTTCTTCTGTACGATCAAGTCTTACTGTTTTTTTAAGTCACAGAACCGAAAGTCTGAAAGCCATATGTGTAACATTTGCGCATTACTGTGAAGAGCTGAAGATATATGGCTTCGTGTACATATGACCCTGCCTTCCCGCCTGAAGCCCTGCCCTGCATTTAGCCTCCTAGGAGTTGCATGAGACATTTCTCGGGAGACTGTCCTATGGAGAGGAAGTGTTTGATACTGTGTTCGCTCTCTTTGTAGTTAGAAAATTGATCCAATAAAGCAATATTTTTTTGCTGGACAATCTTAGTTTGAGAGTGATTCATTCTGCGTGTGGGAAATCCTTCTCTGTTCTTAAGCGCGTTCTCTGCTGTAGGTCTGTGTACTTCTGTGTCTGTAAGAGGGGCTTCCCTCTGAGCAGTGTGAGGGGTGTGTCTTTCCTCCTTCCACGTCGGGGAGGCCGTCAACATCTCTGCCCACGCTCACAGGAGACCCGCCATCGCCGTACAGGACGAGGCGAGTGGCCGCCTGGCTTTGCCGTCTCCTTCTGCTTCTTGCAGCACCCTCCCTGCCCCTACCCCCAACCCCTGCCTCAGGCTTGGGTGGGAGAATAGCATCTAGTTGTTGATAAAGCAAGGGTGACACCTGGAGCTTCTCTAGGGATGAGTGCCCTGAATTATGGAAACAATATTTTGCATTCAGGACTTTCAAACCGCAAGAATTCCTGTTTCTCTGGCCAGAAGGTTTACAGATTGAGGTAAAATCCTAGAAGAATCTCATCAACGCAGTTAGCAACAGACTCTCCCAGCCCGTTTCTGTGCCGACGTATTTGAAGGGAACCCAACGATAATGTCCACGGGAGCTTGGGGAATCGGGGACACACGCAGAGGGCCTGGTGGGGATTGTGGACAAGGTGCCCTCGAGCCCCCAGGTCCGGCTGGAGAGCTGGGCCCCAAAGGGAATCCCGGAGCCGGGGGTGCAGAGGAGGGCAGACCTCCATCCGCCTCTCTGAAGAGTGTGCTGGAGGCTGTTAGTTTCAAAGTGAGTTTTTACAAGCCCACCCCCGTTCCCAACAACAGCATTTTATATTCCAGAAATAAAAATGTACATTTATAAAATGATGGTTTCTGCAGAGGAGGCTGGGCTTCTGCGAATACCCATTTACTTAGTTTTTGTTTCTTTTCTGTTGCTCTTGAATAATAAGGAAAGCATACCCACCAGCTTGTTTCCGGCAGTCAGCTACTGTGTTTTGCTCAGGCATATAGACCCGGAGCGTCGGGTCACCTCCCGCCCGCGACGTCCGGGGTGAACTCGGCCCTGCAGGAACCGGGCAGGTGCGGCCCCAGAGCCGCTGACGCGGGACAAGCGGGGCAGCCTCGAGGGGCTGCCCTGCTGACCTCCCCTCTCTCCCCCTCCCGCGCTGCCTGTGGTTCCAGCCCAGCCCCAGCCCAGGACGGGACAGTGTGAAGAAAATCTGCTAAACGTCAGACCAAGTGCAGCCTGAGCAGAGCTCGCCGTGGGAGTACCCCTGTCTGTCCAAGGGCGCCCCTGACCTGAGGAGGCGGGTCCCCGGCTGGTTGGAAGACTTCCTGCAGCCCCCCGACCCTGTCACCCAGACAGGCTGCTCCCTCCCCGCCACCTAGGATGTGTGGGCCCCGCCCTGGCTTCGAGGAGGGACCCGCGGGCCCAGCTGCTTCGATCCCATGGATCCCCGCCGTTGGCCCCAGCCAACAATACTGCAAGGAGGGGGTCTCTGCGCCACTCTCATTACATATTCCTTCAGAAATATGTTCCGCGTTGCAATAAATAAACTGCATTTGAGTTGATGTGTTTGGGGAGAAGAAAGAGGAAAGACCGGAGCGGCTGAAGTGGAGAGAAAAGGGCCAGATGTGGGAGAAGTCCTTGCTCCACTGTTTTTTTTCAATTAAGGTAAAATTCACAGAAGATGAAATGAGCCGATTTAAAGCGCACAACCCGGGGCATTTGGTACATTCACAGTGTTGTGTGGCCGCCACCTGTGTCCCCCAGAAGGAAACCCTGTGCCTGTGAGCCGTCACTCCCCACCCCGTCTCCCAGCCCCTGGGACCCACGTTAATTCTGCTCATGGGTTTGTACGTGCTGGATGCTTCATGGCCTCTTTCGTGGGGCAGAGTGATTTCAAGGTTCACCCACATCACGGCATTTATCACAACGTCATTCCTTGTGGCCAAATACTATCCACTGTGTGGATGGACCACACTTTGTGTCCATCATTAGACGATGAACATCTGGGCTGTTTCCACCTTTCGGCTACGGTGAGTAACACTGCTCTGAACATTCGTATATGAGTTTTTGTTCCAGCCCCTGTTTGCAGTTCTCCGGGGTACACACCTAGGAGTGGAATTCCTGGTAATATTGTAATTGTGTGTTTTCCTTCTTGAAGAACTGCTTTCCCTTGTTCAATTTTTAGATTATCAGTCCCTGAGACAGACTCTGGATCACTAACCTAATCTGGAATCACATATGTGAAGCACATTGTATTTATAATTCTTTGTGCCAAAAAAATTACGCTAACTATAAGATGACTACGTGTTCGTTGATGCCCAAGCAGCATGCAGCTCTCACCCGTGCCCTCTACAGCCTCTTGGGTGGAATCAACCTGTCCTGGTTCCTGCCAGGAAACTGGGGCCTCTGCCTGTGAGACTGAGTTGTTCAGGTGGTGCCAACCAGGCCCCAGATTACACGTGTGTCTTTTGCTTCACACGTCCAAATTCCAAGCGTGGAGAAAAGCGCCTCACGGGGGCCACCGGTGCCTCACCCCGTTTCTTAAAGAACGGAGCTGCTGCAGGCATTTCACACGACCTCCCTGCTGACGGTGGGATCTGCCACAGGGCCCTTCTGCAAACAGAGCTGCAGATACCCCCCCACACACACACACACCCGTAGAATCTCCCATCCTCAGGCAGCTGCTGTGTTGTGGAGGCTGTGACCACAGGTCTTCAAGCATCGTGGCCTCTGCATGGCTGCAGGGCTGCAGCTCGTGGTCATGACCTTAATTACCAGGGCACATTTGTCCTCGGCAGCCACTCCTCGTTGTTTCCAAAAAGGAGGAGGAAAAACACTAATGAGGGTCTGTTGGGGTGGGGGGGGATGGTTAAGTCACATGCGGGAGGTGGGGGCTGGGGCATGCGAGCCCCCATCCACAGCCGCCTCTGCCCTCACATGCGTGTCGTTTGTGCTCGGGGTTTGTTGAGCTTCAAGGATCCGTGGCTTTATGGTTTTCATCAAAAGTGGAACATGGCAGCCACGATCCCGTCCAATGTTTCTACCCCTCCTTCCGCAGCTGTAATCACGCACACGAGGCTGCGTGAAGTCGGTCCACAGTCCACCAACGCTCAGTTCTGCCGACTTTTTCTGTTTTGCTTTCCTTAGTTTCTCGTGCCGTGTCCTCTTCCACGGCATCCAATCCCCTGTGGCTCTAGAGTGTTTCGGCCCCGACACTGCAGCTTTTAATGCGAGAAGCTTGGTTTGTTAACATGTTCACTCATTCCTCTGACTTCCTGAACACGTAGGAGGTAATTATACCTGTGTTAATATCCTCGTTTGCTGACTCCATGATTGGTGTGATGTTTAGTTGATTTTCATTGACTGATTTTTCGTCTCGTTTGGATTGTAATTTCCTGCCTCTTTGCGTGATCAGAGGTCAGACATTGTGAATTTTGCCTCACTGAGGGCTGGATATGTTCTGTGTTCTTAATGAATGCTTGTTCTGGGATGCAGTTTAAGTCACTTGGAAAGTTTTGATCCTTTTGGGTCTTTTTAGCTTTTAAACCTTGTTTGATGGGAACACTTAGGCTGAGGCTAATTTTTCCCACTCTCAGGGCAAAACCCTTCTGAGGACACTCCCCGATGCCCTGTGAAGTATGTTCCACCGTGTGTCAGGCTTGTGTGGGGACCGAGCATCTCTCCCTTTAATCCTTTAGGACCACCGCTCTTTACTAGAACTTGAGGGGACTCCCTCCCATGCCTGTGTGGGTCAGGACTCATCCACAGCCTGAAGACAAACCCTCTGCAGGTCTCCGAGCCCCCTTCTGGGCAACCCGCTCCTCTGCAGTAACGCCCCTAAGCTTTGAGCAGCCTTGGCAGCCCTGCCCCGCCCTCTCGTCTCCTCAACTGTGGGAGGCTCTGCTGTGGTCCATCTTCCCACACCGGGGGCTGGAAAACCCTCTGCAGGCCGCAGGCTGGGCCGCCGCCAGGTGCCCCTCTCAGGCATCACTGTTCTTTGTTGCCTGATGGCTAACGTCTAACACATGTTTCATATATCTTTTCCATTTTTCACCTTTTTGGGTGGGAGGGTAAATCTGGGCCCTGTTAGTCCATCTCGGCTGAAAGCAGAAGTTCTGACGCTTGATTTCTCAAAGCTTCTTTGGTAGGCCAAATTTTAATCAGAGAAGTAGTCAATCTTCCATTTTCCCTGCGTTTTATATCATATAACAATAATGCTATTCACATAAAAACTACACGTCTAGCCAAGAGAGTGGCTCGTGATCACCAGACATGCCTCGGGGCCTCATATAATTTTAACCGGAAGGGAAGGCGTCAAACAGAGGCTGAAAAATGGCCTTAGCTGCCAAGTATGCTTTTTACTTGGAGGAAGAACAAAAGAGTCCTGGTCATGGCTTTTCAAAATGCAACAGAGAAGAAAAAAACGTATCTGTGTTCAGGTGGCGTGAGACCCTTCTCACACGGCCCTGGTGTCCTGCTGTCCCTGTGACAGGAAGACAGGAAGCTCACAGCCGCGGCCTCTCCCAGGTCAAAGCCGCTATCAGGCTCATCCCAGACGACACGGACCCAAGACTAACACAGTGGGGCTGTCGGCGAATCTAAGCTTCACACCCAGAATGAGGGTCTGTGAACTTCATGGGCACAGCTACCTTTTGTGTTTTCATGTCCTGTGCCTGGAAAACAATATCAGCTGAGACTTCGTTCGTTTGGAATTTGGAACAATTAGACGTGAATGGTATTTGGCTGGTTCAAGTTCACTTTTAGACTTTCTAGTGAGAAACGGGTTTGCAAGCAATTTAATCACTTAAAAAAAGAATGTAAATGGCGTTAAGGTCTTTGGGAACATTTGTTGTTTGCATACAGATAAGGCTGCTAATTATGATTTTTTTCCTATTCATTGTAGTAGGCCCAGCAGGACTTTGACTTGAAAATATACCATTAGTAATTAGTTCCTGTAACTACATATACTTGAAAGGAATAAAGTAAAATTTTTAAAAGTATACCCTCTAATCCAAACCTCTCACTAATTTCTACTCACTC